ATAGTATAGATAAAAATAATGGCAGAGAATGAGAATTGGCTATATCACTCTTAGTAATCAACCTCTTGTTGGGATTCACACCATAATGTCGGGATGATGAGTACTACATTGGATTGCATGACCCTTTGCTGCTCTCTGAGATTCCCAATCCCTTGTAGTATCATAGGATTGAATGATTGGACATCTCAGCGTCAGTTTTCAGAAATAAGCTTTGATCAAGTTTTTATATGGTATATCTCAATTCTACCCACTCCTACTGCCTTTCCCATAATTATTCACACTCTGTAGCAAGCAGTGGAACATCATTTGCAGAGATGGGATGAATAGGCAGTTTTCTACTGTGAAATGTATTTGTCCCCAAGGATCTCATCAGATGCTCTGTTCGCCTCTCATTATGCAGCAGCCAATCATCACAGGAAAGAGGAATACTTTTCCTAACCTTAAGTGACTTCAATGATACCCTCTCATCATGAATAAGACCTACCTAGCCAATAGAGAAAAGGAGTCTAAGATAAAAGAAAATGAGGAATGGTAAAAAGGAATGGAAATGTTATCCAAGGAAAGAGAGAGAGAGAGATGCAGATTAGTGTAGCAATTTAGACTAGAGTGCTTTAACACATACGTTTCTAAGTTAATCCAATTCTTACTGAAAATTCCCCTTTTAAAATCTCTTCTTTTTTTTTTTTTTTGAGACAGAGCCTCAAGCTGTCCCCCTGGGTAGAGTGCCGTGGCATTACAGCTCACAGCAACCTCCAACTCCTGGGCTCAAGCGAGTCTCCTGCCTCCGCCTCCCAAGTAGCTGGGACCACAGGCACCCGCCACAATGCCCGGCTATTTTTTTGGTTGCAGCTGTCATTGTTGTTTTGGTGGGTCCGGGCTGGGGATTCGAACCCGCCACCTTAGGTGTATGTGGCTGGCGCCTTAGCCAGTTGAGCTATAGGCGCCGAGCCTTAAAATCTCTTCAATGGTATATCAAGAAAAAAATCGAGAAAGGAGGAAAACATCTGATTTCTTTCAAAAGAAATTAGATGTTGCCCACCTCCCAGCCTCCACCACTTTATACTCTTTATATTCTATTGTGAGCCTAATGTGTTATTTTAATTACAGAATGTTACAAAACAAGAAGTATTTGAGATCTGGAATACACACATATACATCAAAAAGGCAGTAAATTTAAAGGAAAGAACTGTAAGCTCAGTAAAGGGCTAGGTTCTAATTATCAATACATGGCAAATTCTGGCTCTGGAGGACACATAGATGAGACTGAAATGCTATAATTTGTTACTTCAACCTGCTATGGTTTTGCAGACAAGTCAGGGCTAACTTCTTTACTGTAGTCTTCCAACTCAGCACACCTGCGGAGAGAAACAAATGTTGTTGCCTAAGAAGTGCAGAGCAGAAAATGGATCTATGGAGAATGGATCTTCTCCAATTCATTACCATTTGGAGGATGTGTAAGTCCTTTGGATTTGCAAGTAGAAAAGAGCCAGCAATTTCTACAACAAATATTATAGAAATAGACCAACATTCATGGCAATTGTTTTGGAGGCCTGCTTTGCCTAAAATGGTAATACCCACTGACATTTTTTTCTGAAATTGGATGTCAGCCTCGAAAGGTGATTCACAGATAGGACAAATAGTCGTTTTCATTCATAACATCATTGGCACATTTGTCTGTTTTAAAGACAAAAGTGCATACTTGGCAGTTTGCTTTGGCAACAGAATTTTCTGAGACAGAAAATTGTTGAAAGAAGTGGTCACAAGTCCCATCTCTTTGTACACTACAGTAGTGAATTCAATTTTTAAAATTTGTAATCAAATATGGAGTTTTATAAAACACAACATCAATGTCAAAACAGACACCAGGAAAAATAACTCTCATTTCTGTAATCCTGTAGTAAAGGCAATCTCAGATTTCATAGTTATTCCAAAAGAAATGGGAGAATAAAACTTCATCGTAAAACACAGTACTTTAACAATGTGGGAAGGTTTGCAATTTTAATGCAAAGAAAGAAAACTGGTACTTCTTTGCCAAATATGTGTGGCCAATCATGTTTAATTGACGCTATTATTGCAATGAGAAGAAATAACAATTTGACTTCTAGGGAGTTTTAATTGGCAGTATTATACTATTTGTGCAATGCACCTCCACTACAAGAATAAAAGAAGCTTTTACAATTGCATGCTGAAAAATGAAAGTATCAATATAAGTTCTGTAGATACTGGAAATAATAATATAACAATATAGCTAGCTAAAAAACAATTTTCTTCACTCGATTCAAATAGCTTGGAGAAAAATAATTTTCATTAAAGTATACTCATCATCTCTTTCTCTAACCCATCTATTGCAATTTTTCTCATTTATTCCTCATTACATTTCCTCGTGTACTCCAGTATTTCATCATCTCTAGTTATCAGAGCAAAAATATAGAGATATTTTTATATTATGCATTATGGTCCTATTTTGAAAGATAATGTTATTCTCTCACGCATTCTGCAATCTTTGGGAAGGTATCCTTAAAAAGAAACAGGATTGTTCAGGAATAGTACTAAAATCTCTTAAAACGACCTGTTTGCATCCAGCTACTTGATAAACCCTTTTCAGCTGTTACTATGAAGGGCTGGGGCAGGTTCTTCTACCCTGTGGTCATCGACAGTTAAACATGCCTGAGTTTTTCCGCATTCAAATCACTATCAACAAATGCCAATGGAGTGTGACACATAAACATGACACTGTTCCAGGCAATGTGGGGGGTGCAAGGGTCACACACCTTGAACCTGACAACATTGTGATGGGAAAAGCAGGTGCACATAAAATGTTTATATAATTTCATTACAGAGTGTGGAAATGCAATGACTCATACTGTGAACTTTGAGAGAGAGGCAGAGAGATTTCAACTGGGGAGATCAATATGAGCTCCTTAGAGGAGCCCTATCAGAAGAAGGGAAAATTTCCACCTCACTTAAGGTAGAGTGTCATTGAAAATAAAAGCCAGCAAAAATTCTGATAGACAGGAAAAATTCATCGGATTTGAAGTATAGGGCAGGGAAAGTGAAGTAGTAGGTGATGAGCGGCGAAAATCACGTAGAAGCCAAACACAAAACCCTAAACATCAGATGAAAGAATCCGAACTTCGTGTGCATGTAACTTGTATTTCAAAATGTTAAAGGGGCACAAATGTTTTTGTTACATTGATAGCTTTTTTAAAGCTTAAGTCTGGGATTAGTGTGCCTGTCACCAGAATAGTGTTTGTTGTACCTGATAACTAGGTTTTTACCTCAATCCTCCTCCTCATGTCCTGATTTATAATGACCTGCATATCTCCCTTGTGTGATTAGCTCTCACTCATTAGTGACAACATGTGGCGTTTTTCTATATGTGAGATACTTCACTTAGGATTACAGGATCCAGTTCCATTCAAACTGCTGCAATAGACATTATTTCCTTCATTGTTATAGCTTAGTAGTACTCCATGGTGTACGTATATGTGTACGTATATGTATACTCCATGGTGTACGTATATATATACACACCACATTTTGTTAATCCCCTGATGCAGTGATACGCACTTGGGTTGTTTCAACATCTTTGCAATTGTGAATTGTGCTGCAATAAACATGCAAGTGCAGGTGTCTTTTTGATGAAATGACTTAATTTCCTTTAGGCAGGTACCTAGCAGTGCGGTTGCTGGGTTTAATGGCATGTCTACATTTATTTCTTTGGAGAATCTCCATACTATTTTTCATAGAGATTGTACTAATATACAACTCCACCAACAATGTGTAAATGTATAAATCTCTGTTTATGCCAGCATCTATTATTTTTTGACTTTTTTTTTTTTTTTTTTGCAGTTTTTGGCCAGGGCTGGGTTTGAACCCACCACCTCCGGCATATGGGGCCAGCGCCCTGCTCCTTTGGGCCACAGGCACCTCCTATTTTTTGATTTTGTAATAATGGCCATTCTGACAGGTGTAAAGTGATATCTCATTGTGTTTTCAATTTGCACTTCCTTGATGATTAGTAAGCTAGCACTTTTTTTTTTTTTAAATATATTTGCTGGACATTGTCCTCGTTTTCTTTCTTTTTTTTTTTTTTTGAGATAGTCTCATTGTCCCCCTGGGTAGAGTGCTGTAGTATTATACCTTACGGAAACCTCAAACTCCTGTGTTCAAGTGATTCTCTTGCCTTAGCCTCTGCAATACGGGAACTACAGCACAACAATACCAGGCTATCTTATTTCTTTTTTAGAGACAGGTTTCACTCTTGCTCAGGCTGGTCTTCAGCTTCTTTTTTTTTTTTTGGTTTTCAGCTTCTGAGCTCACACCCACCTCGATCTCTCAAAGTGCTGGGATTACAGATGTGAGCTGCTGTGCCTGGCCTGTCTTCTTTTAAAAAAACTTTAGTTCATCTCTTTTGTCCAGTTGTTAGTGGGTTTTTTTTTTCCTTCATAATTTGTGTAAGTCCTTTCTAGACTCTGGATATTAGGCCTTTTTTGGATGTATACTTTGTGACTATTTTCTCCTGTTCTGTAAGTTGTCTGTTACTCTGTTAATTATTTCCTTAGCTGTGCAGAAGCTTTTTAATTTAATCAAGTCCATTTGTTTATTTTTATTGTTTCTGTAATTGTCTTTTGGGTCTTAGTCATAAGGTGTTTGCCTAGAAGTCAAGAAGAGGTTTTCTATATTTTCTTTAAGAATTGAGTTTTATTTTATAGACAACAGGAAGTCACTGAAAATTTTGGACAACAAGGTGATATAATCACAATTATAATAAGGAGGGTAGAGTGGATTAAATAAGGGATGGGATTGATGGTAGGAAGAAGTGTTAGGAGGGTATTGTAATAAGACACAATGGAGGAAATAAATTTCTAAACTGTAATATTTCACATTTTGGTTTTTCCTTAATATCAATTCCTGAATTTCCTGAATTTTATCTCACACATATATACTCACACATTAAGAAAGAACTATGGTTGATAATGATTTTTTTTTAATTTCAGATTTTTCATTATTCGTATACTGCTTCGTATGTGATTTACAATATACATACTAGGTAAGTTCTTTGATTTTCTGTTTTCATGAGCCATTGTCTGACTAAATTGTTGTAGGTGTCAGTTTGTTCATACAAAACTATTTACATTTTTTTCAAGGGAAGTTTGGGAGTTAAATCCTCCAGAAGTAGAGGACTCTGTCTTGCAGTATGCAGCCTGGGGTGTCCAAGGGCAGCAGCTGGTAAGCACAGGAATTGGTATGCACCAAATACTATGCGCCAACTATGAGCCTAAGGAAAATGTTTACAGAACCATTTCCTTGGAAAAATTTTCCTATACACTTGATGTTTTCTAATTTTTTATTTTATCTTTTACCTCATGTTTTAACTTAAGAATATATCAAATGATGCAAGTATTATTTCATCAATTAATTAGAAAGAAAAATATCTTATCAAGTAATATATGATTTCACTGATAGTTAACAATTAAATCTAGAAGAAAACCAAGGTCACTAGGGTACATTTCTGTGCAATTCCATTACATAATATTGTTAATTTTCGTGATAAACTCAAAACCAAAAAGATTTAGTCTTAAAGGATAGTTCAGGGTAAAACAATCTTAGAATTATTTATATTAGTCTCTTAAGTGGGGATATTTTTTATCAATTATATGTTGATATTATCACAGATTCAAAAAGATAGTTATTGATGTATAAAAGCAGTTTAAGCAAAATTATATTCTTGTATGCATCTCATGGTGCCTATGTGAAGACTTTCTCGAGGGAGTACTACTGCTTCCTTACGTGGCATGTACACGTTTAAATGTACCAAACACAAATTGATTTCTAAATAATACTGTGTTTATACACCTACCAGCAACAATGAGGGAATTCCCTTGGTTCCATATCTTATCATATCCATATCAACACCTCATTTTTCCAGATTTTTAAATCATTGCCTATACATTGATTGGTATGGAATGATATTTCATTGTGGCTTTATTTACATTTACTCCTTCCTTGAATCCTAAGGTGCTAGGGCGATCTTTCATTTATTGACTGGCTATTTCTGTTCCCTCACATGTGAAATAGCTAATAAATTAAGCCCTTTCTAATTTCTGGTTTTACTTTTATTCTCATTCTGGTTCCCTTTCTACAAACAGAATTTTTTTTTAATAGAGGTGTTTTCTATTCCTTGTTGGTTACTGTTTATCAATTATGTATTTATTTTTTAAATATGTCAACATTTAAATTAATGTGATTCTATTATTATATTAGTGTTTTATTTTTCTTTTTCTAGTATAAACACTGAAGACTATCATATTCTCTCTAAATTCTGCTTAATCTTTACCCAAGTGTGGTCTAGTAGTAATATTTTTAATTTTATTATTTAATTTTATTATTTTTCAATTTCCATTGTGATATCTTAGTTCAGGAGGATTATATTGATATTAGTTTTTAAATTTATAAAAAATGTGAAATTGGTTTAAAACTTATGTGTGGATGTCCAGAACAGGCCTTATAATATTGACTTTGAAACTGAATTTGAAGAGACTTGTTTTATGCCTCAAGTATAATTTTTTTAATATAATGAAAAATTTTATGTATTTTTATATGACGGGTACAGTGTTCCATATGGGCCTATTAAGTAGATGTTAATAAATGTTTCTAAGACACATTTTCTTGGTAATTTAATGGATATGTAATTTTTGTCTTTAGTGTTCTGATAGTTTTTCATTATATAATTTGAATGATGTTTTTAAGAGTGAGGGAATTTTAAAATGATAAATAAATCTCTTCGTGACTTCAAATTCTTAGTATCTCAAAATACATTTAACCAATTTATCTTTATAATTATGATTGGCCAACTCTACCTCTAATAAAATTTGGTGGGACCCCCCTACAGTGCATCTTACAAGGGTACATGTGAAATTTACTAAATGTAGAATATAAATGTCTTAACACAATAACTAAGAAAATGCCATAAAAAATAAAAATAAATAAAAAATAAAAAAATAGAATTCTCTGAGAATCCTATGATTTTTTTTTAATTAGAATTATTCCAACAAAAGCTGGGTGGGCCAAGGTATGTTTCTTATTTCCCATGAACTTCAATCTTCTCAATTATGAAACAGAAATATCTCCACACCATCATATCATTGTGATGATTATTTTGGAAAAATTTAACTATTTTCCTTAATATAGTACCCATAACTATTATTTTTATTCTACTTTATAAATCTAAGAAATGCTTTCATAAGCTGGTTGGCTAAATATACAAGTAATATTAGATATTTAATATCACAAGAAGGCTGTGGAATAATATAGTATTAACTAAATGAAGCTTCTTTTTATTGAAAGAAAATCTGGACCCTGACTTATTCTGAGATATGGTCTCTGCGAGTAGTTTGCCATGTCACTTTTGAGTGTCATACATAGTATTAGTAAAATGAGGGCATTTGACTCTGCCTCTTTGTTTCTATCACATAAAACATGTTATTTTAATTTTTGTTAAAAATTATTTGGAATTTCTAGTTTTCAGAATCACTGAGATAAAGAAAGGGAATATTAAAGACTGAAAAAGAGTTAAGGAGTAATTGTCATGACAAATTTTGTTTATTATTTTAAAATTATTGCTTGACATTGCAAAATATATCCAGAGTCCTCTGAGCAGATTAATGATACGACATATGAAAAGTATTTTTTGCATCACAGAAAAATCTTCCATAACAACTTTCATTGTGTCTTGGTGGACACCTTTTTAAACATGTAAACTGTTAACTATAATATTAACATCTTTAAACCTCTAAAATGTAGAAAAGAATTAATAGTACAATAAGTTATGGTGTTCCCAGTCTTTAATTTTTATATTTTTCTCTTTTGAGACACAGTCTTACTCAGGCGCCCTAACTACAGTGCTGTGGCATCATAGCTCACAGCAACCTCCAGTTCTTGGGCTCAAATAATCCTTTTGCTTCAGCCTCCCAAGTATCTGGGACTACAGCTACCCACCACAACACTCAGCTGGTTGTTCTATTTTTAGTAGAGATAGGGTCTCACTCTTGCTCAGGCTGGTCTTGAACTCCTGAGCTCAGGCAATCTACTACCCTCAGCTTCCCAGAATTTTAGGATTACAGGCTTATACATATTTAATATGATTATATCAACTTAAACAAAAGGGACATTGAGAAAATAAAGATTTCTTTAAAATATCAAGAAATGCATGCACAAAGTTGCCACACATTTGACCTTAGACTTGAAGCTGCTTAAACGTTTTTGTGGCTGTGTTTTACAAAGGAATCCCATAAAAAATTCATATTCACTGTCATTTACACACTAAATGTTTAATAGTTGACTAAATAATTATGAAGAAAACAATTATAATTAAAATAAAAAACATAAGCAGTGGTCCAGATGCTACACATAATGGATAGTATTTTTGCCTTTATCATATTTAAGGAAATTGTAAAACTTAATTTACTTAATTTTTACTTAATATACTTAATTTACCTTTGTAGAACGTCCTAGAATTAATCCTGAAAACTACAGCAAAATTTACATAAAATATATTAGATATAAATGTGTCAGGTCTGATTTAGAATGGTAGGACTCGATGTAGTATTCATGGGCTGTGGCGAATGAGCACCAATAAATGAGCAAGTGCTCTCCCACCGCCTGCATCCCTCTAATGAAGTGGAGCTGGTCCACTGGGACAGAAACAGATTCCGAACAAACAAAATTCCAACATCCAGAAATCCAAGAAACTTCACCTTGGTATTATTACTCTAGAATCCTTTGGAAAATTTTTAAAACTTCAGTTGGTTTTAAATTACTCTAATTCTTCAATTCGGACAGAATGCCACATCTATGTCAAAACAATATCACTAGATATACTCAAAGAAATAGTAGTCTTTTGTGATTTTTATTTATTTTCATTCCTGATTTTTAATGTATTTTTTAAATTCTAAAAATACTTTACAATTTTAAAATAATAAGTGCTCTAAGAGCCATATTGCATGTAATTGAATCCTGGTTTCATTAGTTGCTAGCTGTTGAACTTGAAAACACTATCTAATCAGGACATGCCCTACTATTCTCATCTTTACAATAGATAAAGTATAATATAGTATATTTTATATATAGTATGATATAGTATATTTTCAATCATGTTATTCAGATATTTAATGTATTAACATTAATATGTATATAAAATAACTTGAATAGTTTCTGGACTATATCAATTATTTTGTCAGTGGTCATTTTTATTCTTACTCTAAAAGGGAGATTAAAAATGCCTTTTTAATGTGAATTCTAATATCTTGAGCATTTTAGTATTACTAGTTTTGTGGAGAACTAAGCCTAAATTCTTTGTAGTAGTATTTCTAAAGTCCTTTGCAGAAATTCAGGAAGGAATTTCATATTTGTGAAGCTTTTCTTCTGCGTGCATGCAAGTATGAATTAAAATAAAATAAAGGACATATCTCTTAAAATGGTTAATGGCCCATTTCATGTGAGTATGGCATGCTTTGTCAATATTTGAAACCATCAGCAAACTCAGCAATATAATTTCATTAGAGATGAGTCATTACAATACTTTAATTAGTTTTGCATTAAATAAATTACTGTCTTGGTGTTTACTAACTAAGGATAATTAATTTCTTATCCTGAGTTTTTGGTATCCAATCTTATTTGCCATAAAAGAAATTCTTGACTATGGAGCAGAGCAGTAAAGGATTACATATTTACAGGTGACAATGGTCTTTGTTAGAATTCTAAAGATTAAGGAGAATTTTCAGTAGCACTAAGAGTAGGGGAAGGCAATTTGCAAGTGTCAAACTTCGTGGGAAAAAAATCCTCAAAACAATAAAAGGTACATTATTCAGAGAAGGCACTGGGTAGACTGCTGTATCTCTAGTAAATGTTTATAAAACAGAAATGGTTTTAGGAGAGCAGTCTGAAAAGATGTTAGAATAAAAAGCACTAGAAATCTATCAATATCTCTCCACTAGAGAATAATTACTAGTAGACATGTAACTTTTGAGAACTACAGAGTCTATTGAAAACTTGAAAATTTTATGAGAAGCCAATAATGGAAATTTGTGATTAATGTCAATTGATTTCAGCTTTTAGCTTAGCAGAAGTTTCCTGTCTCTGACTCCCCAAACCTTGTGGCAGTGGGCTATATATATGTTCTTGGACCATTCACTCATCTTGCACAAACCAGAGGGAATAATGAGGATAAT